CTGGAGCATCTGTCCACCCCTGAGCTGAAGAGTGATCCCCACAGCTTGGACCAACTTGGGAGTCGCATGGAAAACTAAAGAGAGCAGCCTCCTTTGGGTGTCACAGGAAGGTGCTTGGTTTCAGAACAAAGGTTGGGGAGGAGGACAGTGACGACAATAGGTGACTTCATTTTAGGGTGGACTTTCCAAAGCAACTCCAGCTGGAAACAGCTTAACTCCTGTAAAAAGTGTATCCCAGATCCACAATGTAAATATATGTGATTCTTAAAAAAGAAAAAAAAAAGTGCTTTTGCACATGAATTGTCTGTCCTTTCTCAGGTGAAAACTCTGTCAAACAAGCTGCAACTGGGTCACGGAGCTGCAAACCTATCAATAAAAGGCCCAGAAAAACCAGCACCAGCACCAGCCTGCCTTTCTTCACAGTTGGGCCTCATCTGGGCACTTCCAAACCCAATACAAAGAGGAAGTATCTGCCTATTCTTCCTGGTGGCCCAAGACAGTGGCTGACTTTGCACCTCCCTGGAGACTCAAGAGCCAGTGTACCAGTGGTCAGTGTGAGACCATACCAGATTACAGCTTTTCACATCCCTAAGCGACACACTCAAGGGGCAGACTCAGTGAGCACCAAAGCCCCACTGAAGCAAGTCCTGCTCCATAAGAATGTCTCTTGCACAGCAGTTCTCCCACTGTAGTCGCAGCTGGTCCCCACAGCCAATTGGCCTGGAGGTCAATTCCTCCCAGTGACACCAACAGCAATCAAGGCTCAACTACAACAAAACTGTGCATACAGCCCATAAAGGGGTGCACCAAGGTGTCCACCTCAGGTTATTGGGGAGGCTGAGCCACTGGGCCCTATAGGACACCTACTACACAAGGCCACTCTATCAACTCAAGGAGACTTAACAGCTACCCAATACATAGAAACAAACACAGGAACGCAGCTAAAATGTGGAGACAAAGACATGTCACAAATGAAAGAAATGGAAGAAAGCAAACTACTGATATAGAATTCAAAACCACGGTTATAAGGTTACTCAGGAATCTTCTAGAAACCTCCGAGGAACTTAGTGAGACTTTCAAAAATCTTAGTGAGAATGCCAAAAAAAGGGGAAAAGGACCAGTCAGAAATTAAGCATACACTGAGTGAAATAAAGAATAACATAAAGGGATTCAACAGTAGATTAGAGGATCTTGAGAATCAAATCAATGATTTGAAATATGAGGAAGCAAAAAACACCCAACCAGAAGAGCAAAAATAAAAAATAAAAAATATGAAGATAGTGTAAGGAGTCTCTGAGACAACTTCAAGCATACCAACATCCGAATTAACAGGGATGCCAGAAGAAGAGAGAGAGCAAGATACTGAAAACCTATTTGAAGAAATAATGACAGAAAACCTCCCCTACCCAGTGAAAGAAATAGACTTACAAGTCCAGGAAACACAGAGAACCCCAAACAAGAGAAATCCAAAGAGGACTACACCAAGACACATCATAATTAAAATGCAAAGGGAAAAATACAAAAAGAGAACCTTAAAAGCAGCAAGAGAAGGACAGTTAGTTACCTACAAGGGAGTGCCCATACAACTGTCAGCTGATTTCTCAACAGAAACTTTGCAGGCCAGAAGGGAGTGGCAAGAAATATTCAAAGTGATGAATGCCAAGAACCTACAACCAAGATTACTTTACCCAGCAAAGCTGTCATTTAGAATTGAAGGTCAGATAAAGAGCTTCACAGACAAGAAAAAGCTACAGGAGTTCACCACCACTAAACCAGTATTATATGAAATACTGAGGGTATTCATTATGAAGAGGAAGAAGAAGAAAAAGGTAAAGATACAAATTATGAACAACAAATACACATCTATCAACAAGTGAATCTAAAAATCAAGTGAATAAATAATCTGATGAACAGAATAAACTGATGAATGGAATAGAATGAGGGGCATGGAAATGGAATAGACATGATTCTCAGAGGGAAGTGGGTATGGGGGGCACAAGAAGAGATTAGACAAAGATCTTATAAGCATGTATGCATTACCTATGGGCACAGACAATACAGTGGCGAGGGCTTGGGGTGGGGTGGGAACCCAGTGGAGGGGAGCTATGGGAGGAAAAAAGAGGGACATCTGTAATAATCTCAACAATAAAGATTAATTAAAAAACACACAAATGTGGCAAAATGTTCATAATTAGTGAATCTGGGTGAATTGTTTATGGCAACACTTTGTATTATTCTTGCAACTCTTCTGTAAGTTTTAAATTATTTCAGCCCTAGCTGGTTTGGCTCAGTGGATAGAGCGTAGGCCTGTGGACTGAAGGATCCAGGGTTTGATTCTGGTCAAGGGAACATGCCTGGGTTGCGGGCTTGATCCCCATTAAGGGGAGTGCAAGAGACAGCCAATCAATGATTCTCTCTCATCACTGATGTTTCTGACTCTCTCTTCTTCTCCCTTCCTCTCTGAAATCAATAAAAAAAAAATCCTGTTTTGTTTTTAAATAAATTATTACAAAATGCAAAGTTATATCTTGTTCTTAGGAGAGACGTTAGAGTGAGCTAGCAGTATCCCATCCAAAGGATTCCCTTCCACATTTGTAAGGAACAGTCCACCAATCCCTGCTAATATACCCATGAGGGTAAAGTAGAAGTTTGTGAATGTTTATATATTACTCTACTTGTAAAGCATTTTGAAGGTAGATTGCAGTAAATGTCAGAGTCACATTAAAAAAAAGAATCAGAGCTAAAAATAAACTAGATTCATGATAAAGAATTTCCTTAAAAAATGGAGATCATAGTGGCTGTTCTTTTTTTCTTTACTAAAGTTTATTTAACAAAAGTATAATGTGAAAATGGACAGAGCTTGATTGGCATATTAGGCTTTTAATATATAAAACAGCTAAGATATGGAGATGGAGACAGCCCAAGTGCCCAACAGTAGATGAGTAGATGAAAAACCCTGTGATACATTCACACCATGGAATACTATGCAACTGTAAAAAAGAAGGATCTCTTACCCTTTCAGACAGCATGGAGGGACCTGGAGAGTATTATGCTAAGTGAAATAAGCCAGACAGAGAAAGACAAGTATCACATGATATCACTTATATGTGGAATCTAATGAACAAAATAAACTGATGAACAAAATGGAACCAGAGACATTGAAGCATGCAACAGATGGACGTATTTCAGAGGAAAGTGGGGGAGGGAGGAGGGAACAGATTAACCAGATAACTTATATGAATACTAGAGGCCCAGTGTATGAGATTCATGCACTTGGTGGGTCCCTCTGCCCTACCTGTGCCCTCTCACAGTCCAGGAGCCCTCAGGGGATGTCTGTCTGATGGCTTAGGTCGGCTCCCTCCAGGGGACTCCCTAAGCCAGCAGTCAGACTCCTTAGTGCTGCTGCTGTGTTTGCCAGCTATAAGCCCAGCTCAGGGCTTCTGGCTGAGTGGCACTCCCCACTATGGGAGCACACTGACCACCAGGGGACAGCTCCTGTGTTTAGTGTCTGCCTCCTGGTGGTAAGTGCGCGTCATAGCGACCAGTTGTTCTACTGTTCAGTCTATTTGCATATTAGCCTTTTATTATATAGGATGTCTATAACCCATGGACAAAGATAATAGTGTGATGAAGGCCTGGGGTGTGGGGTAGGAACAGGATGGAGGGGTCAATGAGGGGGAAAAAGGGACATCTGTAATATTTTCAACAATAAAGATAATTTCTTTTTACATGGAGATCAAACTGAACAAAGCAGGGGCTTGTCAAATTCCACAGAATGTCTTAGTCCAGCTGACCATGTTCCCTTAGCAGCCCTACTCGCGTATATCAGACCTGTCTCCACTAACTCTACTCTGATCCCTCCTAATGTACTCTAGTCCCGGCCATATTGTTCCTTCTTTACTACAAGTTATGAAATCATCCACATTCAAATTCTGTCTTGAAAAGAGACACCAGTTTCCCAAAGTGTAAAATGGGCAGCAGCCAGCTCCCTCTGTCTAGGTCAGTGATGGTGAACCTATGACACGCGTGTCAGAGGTGACACACAAACTCATTTTTTTGGTTGATTTTTCTTTGTTAAATGGCATTTAAATATATAACATAAATATCAAAAATATAAATCTTTGTTTTACTATGTTGCAAATATCAAAAAATTTCTATATGTGACACGGCACCAGAGTTAAGTTAGTGGTTTTCAAAATGCTGACACGTCGAGCTCAAAAGGTTCACCATCACTGGTCTAGGTAGTACTCACGCACACAGCTCACATTGCTGAATTACCTGCAGAGTAAGTATTTATTTTACAGGTATTTCCAATATGTAGCAAGTGATGTGACCACTGATGGCAGTGAGAAAATGATCCTTTTTAGAATACATTTAGGTAAACAGAAAGAGAGGCAATTTAAAGAAAAAGGTTAAACCAAAATAAAGCAGGGCTACAGCACTTGCAAAAGTAAAGGCTGCTGTAAGTTCTGAGGTTTGCAAATGTTCACTGATGCACGTAACATTTCAAAGTTTGGTTCACAAAGCCAGAGAAGTAAACAATTATGAATTACTTGAAAATTCCTGCAGCAAATGCTAACTGCTGAAATCAGTATTTTTTTTACATCAGTAAAGATAATATTTCAGAAAGCACTCTCATGCTTTTTTGAAATTATAGTAAAAATTCACAGGAAGATAATCTTCTGAACTATATATGTAGTAAGTTATAAAAATATTTTTGTGTCTGAATATAAATATTTTAGTTCATAGAGATGTTTGGAAAAACTTGAAAAGGAAAAATAGTATGATCTACTAAACCCCAAATATTTATTTGTAGCTTTCTATGAAAACTAATACATCAACTACAACATCAATATCATTCCACTCTGATAAAGTTCTGGGGAAATTGCTAGAATATATTTAGGCTATTTTAATTGTTAACACTATTATGGGACATGAAAAATGCAAACATACTTTAAGGAAAATGCCCCCATGTTTGATTTGGAAGCACCAGGCCTTACCAATGGCTGCTGGGGCTGCACAGCCTGCAGACTGAGGGGCTGGCTCTGGGGCTGCGAGGACGGCTGGGACTGCGGGGGCTGCTGGGACTGCTGCATCTAGAAAGAAAAAGGGTTTTATACTAAACAGAGGGGTTAGTTTCCAGTCTTCTCTTCCCATATGCCTTTTATTTAATTATGTTGTTGCGGCAAAATAACACACACCAGCCTCTTCCATAGCAGCCTTGCCAAACTGCTCATCTTTCAAAGGAAAGACCTAAATCTCCTCCGCCATGAAGCCCTCTTGGACCTCACCCTTCAGTAGTCACAGCGTTCTCTGTCTGTCCTGTCCTGCGTTGTCCCAGTACATGCTCTAAACTCACTGTCAACTCCTTTCATGTTGCCTGCCTTCCATATATCTTATCCTTCTTACACTGCCACGTTAGACACGGAATGCCCGGAGTTATCTTTTCATTCCCTGTGCCGTCTGGATGAACTAGAAGATTCATTTGTGGCCTTTCTTTCTTTCTTTTTTTTTTTTTTAAGGAAGATGAAAATAAAGATAGATAAGGAGGAGGAAACAAAGGAGTTGTTCTTAAAGAACTCCAGAAGATTAGTTTGTTTGTTTTTAAAGTAATTGTAGATATGGGACCTCTGGCATAAATTACAAGAATAAAATCATAAATTGTGTCTGTGACAGTTGGCAGAAATACAGAATTCTTGGAAACACTTCCAAGTCACAGGGGAAACATAGAGAATGAGAGGAAAATCCTAGCAGATGGTCTGTCTCAAGGACCTTCAGTTTCCTCCACCCAAACATTCATTTTGATGAGGACAGCGCCAGACTTCTTTTCATCCTTTGCATTTTCCAACTCGGTGTGTATAATATCCTCCAATTTATTTTTCTTCTTTAGGGCAATGCAATAAATAGCTACTGCCTGTTGGCATTTCTAAGTGACAATGCACATGGATGTGGAATCCAAGCAGAGATCTGGACGGGTTTCCCCAGTGTGAACAATGCTTACAATAGGGAAGCAGTTTTCCACTGACTCTGAACTCTGCCAAGAGAAATGAACCCAACTTCATCACCAGAAAAGAAATAATGGTCATCCTGATGTAAAAACAAATCATTTTTTTTTGGGAATGTGTTGTTAAGGAAAAAAATTACCAGAGGGACATAGTATGCTAATTGGGGTAAAAAGGGAATATTAACTTTTCCAGATTTGCAGCCTTAAAAAACACCAATATGAGACAGAAGGTAATAAGTGAAGAAATAAATGTAATAACTTTCCTCAATGATTTGAAACTGTGAAATTTTGAAACAGAGGGAATAGAAGCACCAGTCCTTGGTTGAGACATCAAGTTCTGTTCCTGTCCCTCCTGCGGGCAGGTTTATTCCTCACTGACCGTACACCAGGGAACTAGAGTCCCGTGTTTTGGTGCTTTTCTTTTCTTTCTTAGTAAAACATAAAATGACTGAGCATCTCAAGCTGGACTGCTGGTGAGATGAGAGGGCACTGTGCAGACTCACCAGGCAATCTCCAACCCAACAAGGACAGACTCACACATAAGGAAGACCAATGGAACAGGTGAACATAATGCCTATATTTCATAAACGAGGAAGTTAGAAGCAAAAATGTGTCAAGGGGAGGAACCCTTTATCTAGGAGACCTAAAATTAATTTCAAATAATTAAAGGATAGCTCTCTGGATTCTAACAGTCAAGATGAAATATTTCTTTGAAATATTCTACTTATTTAATGCCATAGTCCAATTAGACCAGAGGTACTATAGAAATTTTTTTGGATTACAGACCCCTCTAGAAATATGATAAAAGCTCTAGACAGCTTCAAAAAAAATACATATAAGGAATTTTGCATTCATTTTGCATGACCTCTAATTAAATGACTGAGTAAGCTGAGGCTCACCCTACCAATATAAAGGCATCGGCTACCTTGATGCTTAGTGAAAGGGGAAGGATGCTCTGCAAAATGTACGCTCCTGCTGTGACCTGGCATATTCACATAGGAAGACTGGTCAAGTTGGAACTAAATTATAACACTTTAGTCCTGCTTTCAAATACACAGTGTTCCTTGGAACTTGGCAATTAAAGTCTGAAGTGCCTGTTATTCCTCGTACCTGCTAAGGACCCCCCGGGTGCTGACCTCACCTCCCAGCCCCATACCTGGAGGAGCCTCTGCTGCTGTCGCACCTGCGGCTGTCTGGGCCGCACCGGGTCCTGAGGCAGCGGCACTGGCAGGCCCGGATGTGTGGGAGTCAGCACTGCCTCGACTCCTCCGCCCATCAGCGGGCTCTGCTGAAGGGACTGATGATTCAGTCTGGAAAGAACACACAGCTGGTTTCAGGCCCGAGCACACTGCCACATTTTTAACGGGCAGCTAGCGACCACAGCACACACGCACAGAGAAGCGGCTGTGCTCCATAATTACTTGTACAATTCAAATTCAGTAAAGGCCAGTGGTTAAGGTAATCTGGATCCCCAGGGGTAGGGGTAGATGGGATCACTTGAAAAAGAACATTCATGATTAAAAATGGTTAATTGTTTTCAGTACAAATGGCATTAACTGAGCATTTATTCTGGAGTAGGCACTGTGGTAAAAGTCTGGACGGTGTTATTTCATTGACTCTTCACAGCGGCCCTCTGAGGTCAGTAGTTTTGTTATCTCCCCTTTAAAAGTGAATAAACAGAGAGCTAGCGAAGTAACATACCAAAGTAATCCAGATGGAAAATGGCACAGGTGGGATTTAAACCCAGAACTTTGGGGCTTTAAAGTTTCAAATTCGTGGGCAATGTGCAAAGATGCCACTTATTAAAATTGTTTTCCTTTTTTTTTTTATCTTCCAAAATGTGCTACCATCAACCTTGCCCACTTTCCAAATAGTGATTACTTAGGGTTAGCGTGCAACATTGATAATACATGAAGCTAGGCTACTATCTACCATCGCACAATATTGTGCGTGAAACTTAATTCTTCTAGATTAATGCCATCCCTAGAATGTTGTATGATGACCAAAATATTCTATATCTGCGCTGGCCACCAAACTAGCTACATAATTTTTGAGCCTTGGTGCAAAATAAATTGCAAGGTTTCCTGATCAAAAATTAGAATTTCAAGATGGTGACAGTAGAGTATTGCATCAAATGTGGGTCCTCTAAACACAGTCACCGGTGTGACCGTACTGGTCACACATCTTCAATGCTGGCCCTGCTGGCTACACGTGGCTACTGACCACTTCAAGTGTGACTAGTGTAACTGAGGGACTAAGTTTTAAATTGAACTTTAATTTGTTTAAATTGAAATAGCCATATGTGGCTGCTGGCTACTCTACTGGACAATGAAGTTACATACTATATCTAAGGGATCTGATTAAGTAAGAACTGAGAAGAGGTCTTTCATGACCCTGCTTTACCAACCATCCCTGATGTGGAAAAGGTAAAAATTAAAATCTAAGAAAAGTCTTGTAGGCATCAGGTACAATGAGTATTGTAATCATAAACTTTATGGCTCTGTTCAAGACATTCTAGTAAGGCATTGCTAACATTAATCAACATTTTTTTTTAACTTAGATATTTTTAGCCAAAAAGACCTTTATTAAAAGAAGGGAAAAGAAAGAATACCAGAACTAATATAGTTGTATCATCTAAATATATTACACCCATCTAAATATAATGGTATATTCTAAATATAGTGGTTTCATCTAAATATATTACACCCATTCTATGGAAGATATGAATCAAAATATAGGAGCCTTTAATAAAATAAACAAATGGGCCATTACTTATTTTGAATCTCTGGGTGCTCCTAAAAATAAGATGACATAATTTAAATTATATATAAATATGCAAGTTCACAAAAATAATATAAGTGCCATGCTCTAGAAGAAACATAACAAAAAGCCGTGTCCACTACTGCAATCATTGTTTCTAGATATGTTACCTCTGGGAGCCAGTCAGAGGCTGCAGGTACTGCGAGGCCTGTTGCTGAATATAGCCACTGGGCGGCTGCTGCATCTGTCTGAGTCTTTCCATCAGCGTAGGGTTGGAATGCGCAACCGGGTAGGTTCTGGAGTTATAGCTGGGGGACAGGACCACACTGCCAGCCTGCTGCTGCGGGGTCTGCTGCAAAGGCATCTGTGTTCCATACATAGTATAGCCTTGGGGCATGGCCTGCAGGCAGGCACAAGGAACAAAGTCAGTGTTTTTATTTACCACCAGCTTTCCTATTGCTAAGCTATATAGGGGTAAACCCAGGAGAAGCCCCTGAAATTCACTATTCTCAAATGTTTTTATGACTCAAAGTATGAAAGAGATGCCATGAAGGCAGAGAGGCTAATCAGAAAGCTACAGAATGAACTGGTTACATAATGATTTACCAGAAAATACAATTAAAAAAAAAAAAGAATCCTCATGTGGTTAAGAGATTAGTTTTAAGATCAGTTGCTTGCTTATGCTGAAGGAGAAAGTGCATGTTTCCTTATAGACAAGCATCCATTCCTCTTATGCACAGATGACATCAGTGCTCAACAGACCCAAGCATCAATAATGCCACTTCTAAACTTACTCAGAAGAGCTGCCCCATGCTCATGTATATTAAAATAATATGTGACTTCCCTAAATCTGATGAATGTGCCTGGAGTAACTAACCAGTTATAAAAAACAACAACATTAATATCTTACCAGAGTAAGGATGTAATAGATGACTATTCACTACCCTCTAGTCCTGGCTGGACTGAAGCCCAGTTCTGCACTGTACCAGTCATCTGAATACTTCATTTTTCTATGCAACATTAGCATACACATGACTGTTTCTCTAAACTTGACATCTAATGTAAATGAAAAACCTGAGGTTCACTAGATCACTATACTTTATAGAATAGAATGCTGACTAGAGTAGAAGAGGACTGCTGTTTAAATCGTGAAAGCACCATATTTTAAGGTAGTGTAATGACACTGGCTTGGAAGACAAAATACTGTGTAATGAACTTCCAGCGGGCAGCATGAATGGAACCAGCCTGTAGGGTTCTGTGCCTGAGAAGGCCAACCTCGCTCTCCTTTGAGCTGTGGCAAAGTATGAGCTGCTAGCCCCAACTAGCTGTCTTACCAACATCCCAGCTCCTGATTATGGGAGCGACAGGGTAAAAGTACATGGATGCAGAAAAAACAAAATTAGAAAAACAGCTCCAGATTCACATTATATGAAGGCAAGCCTACCATTTGTTGAGCGGCTGCTGTGAACTGGGTGCAGCAAGGCAGTTCCTCAGGCTGCCCTAAATGCCCAGTGCGCCCCCTCTTTTACAGAGAAGGGAACCAGGACTGAGAGTGACTTGCACATTGTTCCACAGCTAGCAAGTTGCCAAGAATGTTGCCAAGGTCTGATGCCAAGGCCAATTCCCTTCTTATTGTACTCTTTGAAACTATCTTTTAATGTGACAAATTCAAGCATGAATGATATCATTTTGTATTATAACGTAAGTATTTTGGGACTGTTAAGCATTTAAATACCTACAAAAATCATTAATAGAGGTTTGGATTTATGTTTTCAATTAAAGAATTTCCTAAAATGTGTTCTTTAAATTAATCCTGACACTTGTTCAACAATCACTGGTAATGCAGGTGTAACTAAGTTTTAGACCAGGGGTGGGCAAACTTTTTGACTCGAGGACCACAATGGGTTCTTAAACTGGACCGGAGGGCCGGAACAAAAGCATGCCTGGAGTGTTTGTGTGAACTAATACATGTTAACACTGCTGCTGGTGAAGGAACGGAGGGGAGAGCAAGAGAACCCTTCGCTCTTTCAGCTCCGCAGGCCGGATAGAACAGCCGAACGGGCCGGATCTGGCCCGTAGTTTGCCCAGGGCTGTTCTAGACCCATAAAGCAGTTGACACCCTATTTACTCGGTTTCCCACTTCAAATAAAGAGATTAAAAATCCCCACTTTTTTGGTTACAAAAAAAAAAAATCCCCGTAGCATCTATGAAGCCACTGTGGGTACCTGTGCTTGCTGCAGCCCTGGATACTGGGGGAGCTGAGGGGAGGGCCGTGCTTGTGCAGCAAAGAGAGCAGCCTGGTCCCCTGGCTGGCCCTGGAAAACAAAGCCAAGAAGAATTCTTGATCATAGCAGCAAGGGCTTGATTTGAGCTTCTGCTTAACAACCCCAACAACCCATGACACCAAATGTCATTATGTGAAAACAGAACTTGCAGATTTCCAGAACTTGCAGAAAATCTGATTTCTCACCTCTTTCCTATGTGTGTAGAGATTGTTGAACTTACTATGTTTTCCAAAGGAGACTACATTTGCCCCCAAAAGTAGAGAACAGACGTAAATATGAGCCACCACAATCAATGGTCAGCTCATCCGAGAGGCTCATAGCAGTGCTCCTGGGTACCCAGGACACGGCCCTGCTGCAGTGAAAGTCAGGAAGCCCTAACTGTAAGATCAGAAACCCTGTGCCCATAACGAAAAGAGCACATGTGGTGAAAGCAAATGCCATATACAAATTTCATGACTTGTTGATAGCTTCTCTCCAGTGGCCTAAAATATGCCTATTTAGCCATGAATTCAATGGATGAATTTGGTATTTCCTCTGACTCCAATAATCAATTAAAATACAATCAATAAAAACGTATAAGTTAACAGCAAATACAATTCTAACCAATTACAATATAAAATAAAACCAATGGACATCTTTCAACAGTTCTCATTTAATACAATTTGACCTTAGGAAAATAAATATATTTAGAAAAGCAGTATTATTTTATGTTTGGCGTTAGATGCTACTTCATGGAAGCTGCTGTAATAACCACAGGGAGAGGTCTAACTTCCCAACATCCCTATGTCTTTTCAGGACTTACTAATGATAGAGAATGGGTTTATCCTAGGATATTTTATTAACTTTTATATAATAGATGTCTTCACTTTTTAAAAGTGCTAAATAACAGTTGTATAAAAGATTTTCATGTTCTTAGAAAGTAGTATAGATATTTCTAACAGGGAAAAAGGTATGAACACTTAGCTTGAGACTGATTAAACATCTATAATATGCCAGGGACAGGCTTCTTGCTCTTATTCTCAACGTCTGGCAGGGACTCTGCAGGGAGGGAGCCTCACCCCCTGTCTTCAGTGAGGAAAAGCTGAGGGCAAGGGGCTTACACTGCTCAGTGATTCACCCAACCAGACCTAGCCCAGCCATTGTCTGAGCTCAGGTGAGTCTGACTCCAAAGTTCAGGGCTCTTCCATTAGGATGAGATGCTTCTATATGTGATATTAAGGTTGAAAATATTTAAAACCTCATTTGGTGCTTATTATTTAGGGACATATAGCCTCTTAAGCTCACCCAAAAATAACCAAAAGGAGAATCTCTATTGAGACTTATTAAAAATATTGAAAGTAAATGGATATACCAGACAGTAAAGCTCTTTCTCTGACCCTGACATGAAATTACTTGGGGCCCTTAAGAGTTTCAGCCTCTTTCAGGTGACTACCCACCCATATGCGGACCAAACATGTGTTTCTGAGGGTCTCTTCTGTAATATCTGCATATATTCAACAAGAATCTTACTCTCTAAAAGAGGGTACCATAAAGATGCCCTCAGCCTTTAGCTGATTAATCTAAGTGTGACTATATCTCTAAATGCTTGTCCCAAGTCCCTCTATGAGAACCATGCATGGCAGTGTGGCCATTGGGAGCCCACAGCTATTGCCCCCAAGTACCCCAACGGCATTTGATTTTCCAAGCACTATGCCCAATAAATCAACCAGATCTTTAAATGCCACTCATCAAATCAGTGCTCCCTGACAGTGTCATGTGAGGTCCCTGAAACATATTGTGCTTCTTTGTGGGGATATATATATTTACATTTTAATATTTTTACAGAAATGAAGAAAAATGAATTACTTATTTGTGAGTTATAATCTGGAGATCCATGTATAGTCTACAATACCCAGGCTGTGTTTGGTACGAAGGGAAGCAGACCTGTCTGTGACATCTGCATGCTGATTCCTACACCGGATCTAACTCTTTACTCTTTGCTTTCTGAAAAACTTACAGAACAACCAATGATTTCCATGTGAGGGAAACTAGATTACTGATAAGGTAAGTATCTGAATTACTGGCTACACTCTTACTGACAAATAACAGTTGATATTGTGGAGATTAAAAATAAAAATAAGAAACTATTCTACATTAAAAATCACTAAATTAACATTTAAGGAAAAAGCACTAAAACTTCAAGCAAGGAGAAAAGGACCAAAAATTTCAAATCAATTTTTCTATTCTAAAATTCATGCATTTTCAGTCAACCAATTTTGTTTAAAGGTCAGCTATTTATTAGTGAACATATTCGTTCCCTCCCATCACCTACTTCAGCACAGTAGGAAATAATCCTGATATGCATACACTCCCCGAGGAAATCATAGACACTGGCTAGCATTCTCCAGGTGCTCTGCAAATAGCTTTATTATCCTGTTTTGCCCTGAATTATTTTGAAAAATACCCCATTCTCTTCCACCAAACTGAAATGGCCTCCAACCATTGTTGTTTTTTCCCCCAGAATAATGCCAGGAATGCATCCTTTCAATTTATAGAAATATTTCAATTTGTTGGGGAAATACAGAATAAGACAAGTTCTTTAGTCACTTGGAAGATTTTACAAATGCTCATGGAGGATCATATTGTGAGAACAAGCAAGGCAACTACAGATTAAGATTTAGTACAAGGTTTTTAATGTTGGTGGGGATGGTTTATTGCATTTATTCAAGAAGGGACTAATCACCCAGGGCAGGCCAGACACCAGGTACTAAGTGGGACCATGCATGGCAAAATGGGACACATGGTCAACTTAGTTATACGTAATTTGTGTTTCATGCATCTGTTCTTTTCAGAAAACTTTCTAAGCTTTATTTTATTATTACTTAAGCACAAGTTAGTTTACCAAGTGCTTTTCAACTGCCCCATATTTTTCAGTACCATCTTTTGTTTTGAAAACTCACTTTAAATTTACTCTTTAGCACCTATTATTCTAATCATTTCTTCCTTCTACCTGCATTAATATGTGGATTTCAATTTCCCCGTCTTGATTTATTCTGTTTAACTGAAGTGATCAGAGGCAACAATAACTTTGTATTTTTATGGGTACAATGGATAGTTCAGGAAGCTGTTTTTGATGAAATGTGTGTAGTCAGCCAGGTGCCATATGACTTTGAGCACATTACCGAAAGAGAAAGCATACACTTTTGTGCCCTGGCTCCAGCTCCCATCCTCAGGCACCTGGCTTCCTTGTGCTAAGAGAATAAGGCTCAGCTAACTGGGAAATTCTGAATATTACACCAACCCATCTCTATATTGCCACCTGAGGTAAATTCCTACACATATTCTCTCCAGTTTGCTTTCAAGTACTTTGCTTTGGGCTTGCCTCTATGTGAGAAATATAAAACCATTATATTTTTAAAATTTTCCATTTTCTAAAATCTTCTAAAAAAAAAAAAGCAGTGCTGCCCAGCCGGCATGGCTCAGTGGTTAAACATCGACCCATGAACCAGGAGGTCATGGTTTGATTCCCAGTCAGAGCACATGCCGGGTTGGGGGCTCAATCCCCAGTGGGGGGTGTGCAGGAGGCAGCCAATCAATGATTCTCTCATCACTGATGTTTCTATCCCTTTCTCTCTCTCCCTTTCTCTCTGAAATCAATTCAAAAAATAAATAAATAAAAAGGCTGTACTGTTCAATATAGATTCATTTTTATGACCATTATAAGAACAATTTTCTTTACTGCTTTATTTTTCATTAGGCAAGAGAAGTGTCTGAGATCAAAGAGATGTTGACTCAAAGGCCTTTTGTATAATTTGAAGTCAATGCATCTAGTAAATTAAAATCGATGCTCATACATAATTTTCATCCTTTGGAGCCCTGTTCTCTTCATTAGCAATCGCTCCCTCTGTCAACTAAGTAAATGTGAAGCTCTGTTCTCACAGGAGAACTGGTCATACAGCCCGCTAGCAGGCAGTCAGCATTATAAGCAGCAGCATTACAGGACCAGGAATGTCCTATCCACTCTACTCACTAGTTAATGTAATGATTTTTTTCCCAATAATGTCTCAGGGTTGCAAGTAGGGAGTTGGACCTAAAATACCAGATTTTGTGACTTTGTTTTTAAAAATGCTGATTTAGGAATAATAATAAAAGTAATCTAATGAAAACCAGTGGTTAATGTTTTATGAGCCATCTACCAAAAAGGGTTTTGTTTGTGTTATTAGCTTCGCAGGTACTGAGTAACAGTGCTCAAGACTAAAACACATGGTGTGAACCAGAGGTTATGGCCTTCCCCACATACTGGTGTATTTTGATTTCAGATAATAGAGAAAATTCTATAATTACAAGAGATCCTGTTGACAGTTATGCTTGATTCTCATATGAAGCTTTCACATCAAACATAAATTGGTTAAGAATCAATTAATAGTAAGATTAATTGCTAGAACAAAGGGATTCATTCTAAAATAAGGACACTCCATACAATAATAAAGTTTTACAATATATTCTATTAGCATGTCCATAAATAATGAATATAATGACTGGCAGAGTATATACATTCATTAAATTTCTAATACTGGAGAATATTTTAGGAAAATAAGGATAGTGAAAAGGAAAACAAAGATATATGTACATATTTCTATTAATTTGAATGAAAATAAAAAATAATAAACCCTTTTGACTTTAAATACATGACAAAATATTTTGTCTAATTCTTTCTTTAAAATAAAATCAATGACTGATACAAATTGTTTTCTAACTGAATTACATTAGCATCTGAACAATAACTATCACCAACCTCCAAAAGTTTTAAATTTGATACATTTTTATTTCAAGTTTTGAAATAAAACCTTCACTTGCTCTCTGTACAACAGTGTCAAAAAATTGATAGGAAAACTGATTTTCAGAAAAGTTTAAACTTTCCTTTGCAAAAATAACTTAAAGAAACTGCCTACATAACAAGTATTTAATAACAGGAATATTTTCAGAGTTTGACTGTGCAGTTAAGGATATTTTCACCAATGTATAGAAAATGTTACCCATTAAATTGGCAG